AATGATCTTTATCAAATTATCTAAACATATAATAACTGTGAAATTAATAATCGATTATGGACACTATAGATATTAACAACATATATTCATCAGATAAACTCATTAAAAAAACCGATGAAATAAGATCATTGAGATTGTTGATAAATAAACGATTATAATTCGTGTAAACAAATTCAAACTGAAACCATTTAGAATGTTAATAAAGAAAAAGACCATAATAGTGTAAATACCAATGAAATAATGAATAACAACATCTTGTTTTTATGATTTTGATAACGAGGATGCCAATTATAATGTGAAATTATTTTTTAGTTTTTACTGGTTTTTGTACTTCTCTAAAATTAAAAAAAAGAAAGAAATTAATTCATGTATTAAATATAATACTTTGAAAATATTAATTGTGTATTAAAATGTACACCAAAATTTTCTTTTACAGCTTCCATTTCATTAGCTAAATATCAAGAAAAAAAAACGAATATTTCTAGTTGTTTAACTATCGAAATAATACTTACAATTTATTTTAAAGTTTCTAATTCGACGGCTATTGTCTCCTTACATAGCTATTCGTCTTTTCACCGTAATTTGCTTCATACGGCACCGTAAACGGACCGTATTTTCTCGTAACCATGGGTACAGTAATACGGCACCGTATACGAGGCCGTATTTTCACAGTATACAGCCGTATACGGGGCGTAATCTCATTATGATAGGGCCGTATTTCTGTGCCCGATATTACGGCCGTATACGGTCCATTTATGCGTCGTAAGGTAACCGTAAACGGTCGTTTACGGACCGTATCGTTTGACCTGGGTAGCCATTGATTCACTAAAAAAGATGAACAACAATTTAAAGAAAAATGAAATCGAATTTCTCTTACAGATACATTAAAAATATAGTTGCATCTGTATAAATATCATATTTTGTCAAATTCAATATCTTGATATCTGTTACGACATCTAAAACAAAAACAAATCATAATTTATTTAATATTCGAATTAATAATTCTGCATTTAGAATAATAAATTTCAAAAGAACAAATTTATAATAAACTTATTTTAAATAAGTTTATTTAGTCGGTACTATACACTCTAAAAATAATCGTTAAGCTACCGAACCATTTTAAGTTCGGTAGGAGCTGCGAAACCTAAAATGGTCTAGATCTAGACACACGCTGGAAACCTTTGCTAGCAAAACTTTTTAAGATCTGTGAGAGAAAAACGAGTTCTGTATCAAAAATAGAAAATCTTTCACTTTCACTGAGAAATTCCAAAGATTTCGGATTAAACCATTAAGGATTCGTATCGATCCAGAATGGTTTCGTAGCAAAGGTTTCGAGCGTGTCCAGATGAAGAATCACTTCAGATTTCGCAGCTCCTACCAGACTTAAAAAGGTTCGGTAGTTTAACAACTTTCTAGAATGTATACTGCCTTTAAAAAAAGATTTTTTCTTACCGTAATAGTTTTTTTCTTTAAAATTAATATTGATACGTTTAACACAACTCATTATTAACATGTCTTCCAATTGTTCATCATGAACATAATCATTTTTGGACATCAATTCTTGAATTATTTCACCAAGTGTCTACAAAAAAAATATTATTGAAGCATTCAATTTAAAATCAAGTCATATACTTTTAATGCACCCGTGGTGTCATTTTTGTGTAAACAGAATTCAACTTCACCAGCTTTCATTTTCATGTTATTTAGTGACATTTTCACAAATTATCAATGAAATATAATATAGATTAATAATCAATTGAACAAATAAAATGCTTCAATTGAATCTAATGGATATAATCAATTGAAACAAATGATCGACGAATTGTACCAAAACCAAAATTATCAAAACAAGAATAAGAAATTGAATCAAGTCGATGATAAACCAAATAGATTTTGATAACCAACTCAACTAATATATATATATATATATCAGTTCAATCGAAAAAAGACAAACGTCGAATTCAACAAAGGATAAACGTCGAACTAAACAAAAAATAATGAATGACATCATCATAATGTATGAAAATATCCTATCGGTCACAAAGAAAACCAATTAATATCGACGTAATAATAAGAAAGAATATCATCATGATCGAGATAAGCTGTTCAAATCGAATGAATTTATTCGTTGTTGACAGTGCCAATACGAATCAAAACATTTCAGATAGAAAATACCGCCAATGAACAATAAATTCAATTTGAACGTCGTCTAATTTTGAATTTTGTATTTCAA